AATTGATTAATTTGATTTATTTTTATTTTTATTTTTATTTATTTATATACATATATATATTTAATCCGTCTTTTTTCTTTTGCTGTGGGGAAAAAAAAAGATAAAAAAAAAAAAAAAAAAAAAAAAAAAAAAAAAAAAAAAAAAAAAAAAAAAAAAAAAAAAAAAAAAAAATGAAAAAAAAAAAAAAAAAAAAAAAAAAAAAAAGACGCAGCAGCAATCGTGGGGACATCGTGTGGGGGGAATAATATCCAGGCTGTCCCGATCAGGAATAGCTCTCAATCCTCCACTTGGTATCGGAAGGGTACCGTCGGAAGGGTTTCCGTCTTTCAATCTCCATCATTCAATCCACTTCCCGATATTCGCCCCGACGTCTGTCTCTACAAGAGCCGTTGACCACTTCCTGCCTCGGGATGGGTCTGGCCATTTTCGTCTTAGTTTTGGAGGGACCAAGGAAGCCCAAATGATTGATCATTCAAACTCCTTGAAGTGGCTGTAGTGATAGACTAGAACTGTCTGAAACTTCTTTGACTTCTACACTCCTGCTACGTTTTACTTCCAAGTCGCATATACACGGGTATATAAAAAGGAAGGTTATGTGCCCGCGCTATTACTTTTCCAGACGCTATTAAACTTACTACGGAAAATCCGTCATTCGCCAACTTCCGTAAATCTTGTCGGTGGTCTCGCCATCAGCCGTCTCGTCGCTCCTCCTTCGTCCTGCTCTACATGGCATGTTTTTTTCGCCATAAGTAATCCCTCTCCAATGGATGAGGGCCCCGATCCAAGAGCTCCTCGGCGCAAGAGGGTCTCCAGAGCCTGTGACAGGTGTCGCAGTAAAAAGGTTGGTTGGTCCCTCGGGGTATCGTCACCCGAGATATTACTCTTCGTTGCTCTATCATATTATGCCAACAATCCCTCTTCCCCCCTTCTTCAACACCAGATTCGTCAATTTTGCTGTCTTCTAGGCTTGTATCGGGAATCTCGTTAGATTGATTCCTACTGTTACTCGGTGCAATATTTATAAGATGACATCGAATCTGACACGATGACAATGTACTTTAGGACAAATGCGACGGCCTGCGTCCCGCTTGCTCCGCGTGCCAGGCTTCGGGCCAAACGTGCTCATACGATCCTCATGCAAAGAAGCGCGGACTTCCTGAAGGTTATGTTCGGGGTCTGGAAAAGCTCTGGGCTCTTTCGATATGTAACATTGAGGGCTTTGAGGACACAATGCTCTCACTGTTGGGGACTACAGCCGAGTCGGCAGGCCGGAGAGATAGGCTTATGCATCTCTGGGGCGATGATGGCGCATCGGAAACACTCCATGAATCCTGGAAGACGAGCCGCCTCTATGGCGCTCTTGAAAAAATGTTGTCCAGTTCCGATACGCTGACGTTACAAGGTTCCGGCAAGCGTCCGCGAGAGGAACAAGAAGCTTCGGGAAATGAATGGGGGTTTCGCATAGATCGCGGCCCAAACCCTCTACCTTCTGATGGCCCCCGTGTTGTGGAGCCCTCTGCTTCTTCGCCTCGCGCTAAAAGAGCTCGATTAGCTCCTCCAACTGCTAGTCAATCTTCCTCTCTTACCACTACCAATGGATGTCCTGACTTACAACTACCACCTCAAACCTCGCAATTGCTGGACGTGTATTTTGCTGTCACCCACTCCTGGTTTCCGATCGTAGCAAAACACAATATCCTCCGGGCATCCTACCTCTACGCAACAGCGCCGGTGTCCATTACACAGGCGGTCCCAGGATCTGGCGACCATGCTGCGCTGTGGGCCCTCATCAGTTATACAACTTCGCAATCACAGACAAACCCACAGAATAGATCAACCAAGCTGCTTGCTAAAACAAAGGAGTATTATGCGGTTGCCTGGCGCTTGATTCCTTCAGAAGTGGAGCACTATGAGCTAGGGCATGTGCAGGCACTTCTCCTGCTGGTGTTGGTGAACATCGGACTCGAGAAATGGACTGCCGCCTGGCTCCTGACGGGTCAGGCAGTCCGCATGGCTATTTCCATGGGCCTTAACACAACTACAGACGTTCGACGATCTGATGAATTGAGGCAAGGCAAAGCAGTCTTTCTTGGGTGCTTTGTTATCGACTCCTTGTTATCATTTCGTCTGTCCCGAAGACCTTACATGCAGTCACGGGACCTTGCCACTGTGGGCTTGTTAGAAGAAGATGGCTTGGAAGAATGGAACTCATGGTCGGATGTTCTACCGCCCACCGGAGTAGGGCAAGCGAAGAATCCCCCCCGGCGTGGTCCTCTTCTCGCCCTAAGTTGCTTCAACCGCCTAGTTGAGCTGGCTAGTGTATTGAACAAGATTGCTCAAGATACTGCAGTCCGACATAACACACACGCTTTTTCGCAGCAGTTAGTGATGGAGCTCAAACAATGGGACGATCGCCTACCGCTTGGTTGCCGGCTTATTGGCCCCGAAAGTATCTATCCAGAACGGCACTCGGCTTTGCTCCCGCATCAGACATACTTGGGTTTAACCTACATAGCCACACTTTTATGGCTTTATTTGCGCATTGCTCCCCAAGAACTCGGACTGCACCGTGCCCAACGGCCTGCTATTGAGGGGGCGAAGAAACTACTATATAGAGTTCTACCAATGATATCACAGCATCTTGATAACTTTCGTATATGCGGCCTGCCGCCAATTTTCGAGGTTTCCTTGCATACAATTTCCAAACAGGCATTTACATTGCGCGATAATGTCGAGTCCGACACTTTCCCCTTCGAACGATGGGCTGAAGCTCTTCTTCAGCGGACGAAAGAGCTCTCCCCCTCTTGGCCCGTTTATCGTTCATTGACTGCAAATATTGAACAATGGTGTCAGTCCAAGGAGTTTTCAGCGTATTCGCCGGCCACTTTTCAAAGACCAGGAGACAATTTACCGACAGTTGCCCTCGATGGGCCTACCAACTCATATGCCCCCGATATCACAGAAGGTTATCGAGGTACAAATAGCGAGACATCAATACAACGCGTCAGGGCGAACCCCTCACACATGATGGATTACGACTATACCTCTTCCATTCTGGGCATCAGTATTCCAGTGGATGGGCAATATATGACGCCGAAGGACACGGAAATGGAGAGTACGGACCCCTCGAGCGATGTGCCGCTTCAATCCCAGTACCAGCAGATGAACCAAGCGACGGCGCTTCCAGAGAAGTCCAATCCTTCGAATAACCTCGATGCGCTACTTCCACCTGCACATCAGAATCCACCCACACCCGACTCCTCGGTATCGAACACAATGTCCGGTATGAACCCTATCAATGATCATTCTATATCTTCCGCAAACACGATGGACCTTAACGCCGGAACTTCGGGTAGCCCCGAGCGCCAAATCCCAACTAGCGACCTAGATTCTATCTTCAAAGATCTGGCATATCTCGATACCACTGAATGGGCCACCAGTCGCGAAGCGGGCTTGAAAGATTTTGGCTTCCTCGATGACTCTACGTTCCAGGCCTTCTGCCACGATCCGGATCGTCTTGCGGGCTCTCAACCTTTAGTTCACCCCCCTTCGATCGCAGATATTTGGCCTCCGCCGGGTTTCTTCCCAGAGACGTTTCAGGAAACCTCCGAAGATGCGATGGAAAGTTAAGACCTCGGGCTCTCTTTGTCATGGTGGGTAAATAAGTCTCCTAGGAGCGGGTTTCCCTCCCATCTTCATCTCCGCCTTGACCGAGGCGTGTCAGTGTTGCTCATCTTCTTTCCTAACACAACGGCTGCAACCTACGACATCGTTTCCTAGTTTCCTAGTATAATCTCAAGATACCCATTGGTTAGTGTCTCGTCGTTTCTCATTGTCCTAGTTATAGCAACATACTCATTCATTATTCGGCTTATATAGTGTAGACCCAAAACCCTGATACTCTGTATTGCAAGCAACATAACATGTGACTGTCATAGACGTGCCTATAGTGGGATTTGCGACAAACTCAGAAATTTGCTCTTACATTAAAGCAGGGTTCGTTGAGATCCGGATTGGCATGGCCTGTATGCACCCCAAGCAGTCCTGCCCATTCAGGTTGTATCATGAAGATGGTCCATGTTTAGGAACATAAAGTAGAAGAGGCACCATTGATCTCAGGTGTATATTACAAAAATCGCCGGATGAAAACTGCAAGCAGCGCGGGTCTCGATCACATTTCCGTGCGCAATCTCCAGCAGTAACTGTCATTTCCATTTCCCTCTCGGACGGTCTCGGACGAGGGTTTATCCCAATCATTCCGTTCCAGCAGCGTCGACTTGAAAGTAAATTCTCTGAACACGTCACGGTGTAACGGTAAAGGGAAGTTCACCGTGTTGGATACCCCTAGTCGTCCCAACAAGATACACGAGTTGATCTCCTAAGGCGGATATCCTCGAACTAGTAACTTACACTTTCAAATCATTGTTGCTCGAAATGCCACATGAGTTTGCAGTCTTCGGAAGTCATTTGGTGGTATGACAGCACAGGATAGGACTATGGACTTCCGACTATATAGCCTTCAGAAAAGGGGCCAAAATCCTCTACCTGCGCTATCGAGAGCATGTGCGAAGCAATGGGGTATCCATATCATAGAGGACTTTACCCAACACATGGTCCCCCGCCCAATCATTCGCAGTGACCTTGTCCACCTCTATCGGCTGCTTCCACGCAATGCTGAGAGACTCAACGCAAATCCCCTCCTTGTAGTGCGGGCAAGTGTGATTCGGCTGCGACAGTCACGCAATCAGATTCGGCCATACAACGTATGAATCAACTTCAATAAAGACTGGCCACTTAGCACCGAGCCGAGCTCAAGGTGCTTCATGCTAGATAAGCACAAAGTCCCATCTACCAAGCCTCATCTCGGGTCTGCCTGGTATCCGCAAGGGTCCATTGACATCGTCATTCCTGTCATCGGCCAAAAGCCCCTCGCGCCCCCGTACCCGTAGGCGGTTGTAAAGGGCAGAGTCCGGGCCTGTAGTATTCTTGGTCTCCTTTCGCACGCTTCGCAGCACATCAGCTCCTCATAGTCTGAAAAACACAACACAGTGCGGTACGCATTTCAGCGCGGTGTAAATGGGCACGAGGACTTTCTCTTGTGGCACCTATCTTGAGAACGACCAGAATTCCATCCATGCCATGAATGGTGTGGCCTGGTTGCCCCAGGGGTGTGGAAACCTTGAATGAACGCGCCCGAGCGCGCTTCGGAGAAAAGCGTAAGCCAGAAATACGCTGAGAGTAGTCGACACCATGAGTATCCCACGCCTTTACTTAGTCAGATCATTTGGACAACCGAATATGCTCTGGACCGCTTGATGCTTTTCCAAATCCCCAGAAAAGGGTGCTGGACAATTTCAACAGAACCCAGCATGAGGGTGTCCAAACAAGAAAAGGGAAACTTCGAGTACGACCCATATATCAGGGTAACGGGACAATGGCAGCAGGGCCCTCGATTGGACAGAGAAGAGACATGATCCACGGGTTGAAGATATGGTTCTTGGATCACTCCCATCCCGTCCTTCATTAACGCTAGCTATTCTGTCAATCACCCTTTGTTTCAAACTTTATATCCTAAAACATCACATTTACGCAGAGTTATTCTTATATATTGGTCATTAATCATGTATCAGGGTCTCCCACGGTTTAAGGAGGAACAATCAAAGTAGCCCCAGGGCCTAGTAGTAATGAAAAAGAAAACAAAAGAAAAGCACAAAAGACAAATATCAGCTTTCTTTATCCAGAAAATAGCCCTCCCTGTAAGAGACAAATGAAGCAATTGCCGCTCCGTTATATGCTCCGAAGAACGCCCACCCCGGTTGTTTTCAGAAGATTAGAGGGACACAGAAAGAGACAAGGGGAAAAAAAAAAAAGAAAAGAAAAGAAAAAGGACGAGGCGGCGAAGAAAATCGCTGTAAACGCCAACAGTCAGTGTATCACATCCCCGAAATAGCCATAGGATACCAGCCTAGCCATCCGAAGTCCATGTAAAAGAGAGAGAAGGCCAAAGAAAGATCCCGCGTAGGAGAGGACGTCAGCGTCAAATGATCGTCATTCTCCTGGAGTTGGCAGGTATAAGGCCCGTTATCGCCGCCAGCCCACATTCCATATTACATGCGCGATGTCTTTAGCGGTGTTGACAGTATCAACCACTCGATCAAAAATACTAGCATTGGCGGGTTCCACGTCATCGTATGAAACTCCCGACGACAGACAATGTCGGTCAAGTTCCGCATCGTCCTCAGGGTTAACAAACCATGGTCGACTACAATTCGTCGAATCGTGTAATCTTTGAGTCGGCTCCCAATTGAAATCTAAATCGTTGTCCGCTTCGTCCAGAAAGAAGTTCGCCGCCGGCTCTGACGTTTGAATGGTCTCAACCGAGGGAGAAGAGGAGTACGATGAAAAGTAGCCGGACCATCGATTGAGGATTGAATTCACCGGTGGCTCCGGAGTGTCTCCCCGATACTTGAGTGTGGTAGATGGGAGTGGTGCAATGGTCCGGTTATCACTGCTAAAGCTGCTTCGCGGCGTAGTACTCCTCTCGCTTGTTGATGTTTGCCATGAGCCGTGTCTCATCATGACAACGCCATCCTCCGAAGATGAGTCATCGTTCATTGCAGGCCAATCGTCGTCATCGTCGTCTTTTGCCTCCACTGCAATACACTGCACTACTTCGTTGTTGAAATGAATATGGCGCTTTTCGCAGGGTGAGCCTGTTCCCGAAGAGCCGTTGATTGGCGTGGCAGTGCAGGACGTTCGCGAATAAGCCTCAGAAGACTGACTGAATGTCTGTCCCAGTTTTGACGAGTAACGATAGAAGGACGGTCGATTACGGCTGATCTCCGCTTCCTGTGCCTTCAAAATGGCGCCCGCATGCTGTAGGAGAGTATGCTGCGACAAGGAACGCTGCAGGATTGTTTCAGAAGCCGTCCTCTTCTTGAGTATCGGCTTTCTATCCGTAGGCGTTCCAAGGCGGCTTGGGGGGGGCGAGACGTTGGAGACAGTCTTGCGCTTCCTACACGACTTTAACGGGCCATACAACCAGGTCACGTCGTAGTCCTTCAGCCTGGACGCATATGGTTAAACACAGAAATCAAAGGGAGGGAAGAGAAGGGAAAGCCAGTTGAAGCACTAACCAGTTGAGGGTTTCCGGCGATACTGTTCCCCGGTTAAGCTTCAGCTTTGCCCAAGTCCTCCATGACGCATTCTCTAGCCTCACGCCATGATCGTATATTTCTCGTCGAGCAACCACATATCGCCAAGAGGCCCATATATCCTCCTCCTTCCACTCATGGGCGAGGTAATCAACATGTCTCGATGGCTCCTCTTCAATCGAACTGTCGTCGGTCGGTCTCGGCCAGTTCACACGGTGGAGGTCCGTTGATGACTCGGTCGAGGCTTCGCTCGGAGCTTCAGGTAACTTCGGGACGCCTGGACCTGCGTCATATGAGGGCAGTACTATCTCATCAACGCCATCTTCTTCTTCTTCTTCTCCATCATCCTGCCCATCACGTACACAGAATGATAGACTACTAAGGGTTGCAGGAGTGGGAAGTAGATGACCAGGAGCCGTTCCGACGAAATCGGGAGAACGGGGAAATGGAGAAAGCGCCGAGGATACTATTGGGCTCGAACACTCTCTTGGGGAGTAATCATTGGCGGGTGACTTTACTGTGATCACGTCCGAGTCTTCCAGGAAGTATCTTTGAGTGATAGGGCACCGTAGAGGATCGGGGGAAAGTTGCGTGTGCCTCTCCTGTGAGGCGGGAAGCACGGCAGTCATCATCACGGGAAGATGATAATCATTGGAGTTGATTTATTCCGGCATACCCCAGCCTCTTTCGTTTCCCTTCCTCGTTGCTTCTTTCGCCAAATCGGCTATTGGGTTATGAATGAGGGGAGAATATAAGGGAGGATTGCCAGAGGATGTCAAGTGGATCAGGCTGTATAGAGGCACTCGACGAAGAACGAGAGATCGACAAGATAAAAGCGGTTGCAGGATCAGAAGAGCATTTTAGAGGAGAGAAAGGGCGTAGACCTAATGGGGGCGGAAGACAGCACGTATCCGGAAGATGAGATCAAGAATAGCTCAAAGATAGATATGGCTCGGGACAGCAAGCTTGATGAATGAGAGGGTGCCTTTTTTAAGATTTCCAAGGTATCAGCGGGCCTTTTGGGTAAGACCTTTTGGGGGGAAGATCCGTTCAAGTAAGGAATGTATGTATGAAATTGTAATTTATTCTGTGTCCCAGTCGGTCTCGTCAGGAAAAAAGATAAATAAATGGAAATTTATGAAATCATTGCCAGGGGAATGGCAGGGAAAGTATAATGAATCAGAAAACAAAAGATAAAAGTCAAAATCAAAATCAAATAAAATGAATCTTAACAAGAAAATCGAAGTACTCACGGGAAAGGAGATTCAAGAATGATGGAGTGATCTTCTAATATCATTCCAAGCAGAAGCGGCAATCTGACAAGCTTTCCACCCAATGAAGTAATACCACCTAGTAATGGAGGCAGGTAGGTAGTCGTAGAAGAGCCTACTTTAATTGGGGCCGATAAGAGCGGAAGGAGTTCACTGACAAGATTTGGTGAAATGATGTGCTTGAGTGTACATACATGCATACATGCATCCATCCATCCATCGTAGGAGTAACAGTAGTAGTAGATAACAAGGTATCGAGAGTGAGAGGGACGGGACGGGGAGTACCTATAAAAGGGTAATGTACATACGCAGAGTGAGACGAAAAAAAAAAAAAAAAAAAAAAAAAAAAAAAAAAAAAAAAAAAAAAAAAAAAGAACTCAGGCAAGGTTGCCACCAGGGACGAGTTAAACTTACTCCTCGTAAATTTACCGCGTTGGTATTTTATTACCATGCGCCTGAACAGTGGAATGGAAAGAAATTATTGGCTGGAGCACAGATGGACTGGGGCTCCACCGCGAGGACAGTGATTTGTGCCCCCTCTTTTAAACCATACCTCCAAAGGTGGAGTTTAGCCGTCCAGACCTTTTTGGATTTTTCGTCATTTAACAACCAACTTGATCAAACCCCATGGAGAAACCTCCAGACTCCTGTCTAGATCCTCTTAGTTCGGTATTTTAGACTTCCCTTCTACTGCGGATCATCCTTCCTATACATATTCTTGTTTCGTGTGTGTATATCAATTATT